ATAAATCTGGGCTTTATTATTTTAATTACCTTGTTAATAAATGAGCATTGTGATTCTGCCACAGCAGCTTTGAACGCAACACCACAGACTTAGCCCATGAAGAAATGTCTTACCTCTACAGTGATGAAGATTTCTTCCAAGTGACTGGCAAAGTTTTCCGTCTGAGCAATCTGCTCTTCCAATTTGCACATGTTTTTATGAATCTCCTCCTAACAAACACAACATGGTTCTCAATATGAACAGTGTTTTATGGGCACACAGAACAAGAGGGTCACACTTGCATCATTCTTACCCTCTCGCTTTCCACAGCAGTGTCGAGCTGAACCACCTCATGATCYTTGTGCTCCCCAAACAGTTTGTCAAAAGCTCGGATTGGAATCTTGCAGGTGGAGCAAAAAACATCAGCTGCTTCCTCCTCCTCACTGACTGCCTGGCTGCTCCGCTCCTCCGACACGCCACAGCTGCTGAGCGCCTCTCTGGAGCACACGTGGCTCTGAGCCTCATCTTCCTCTCCTGATTTGTTCTGATCTTCTTCTTGAGAAGCCTCATGAAGAAACTCCTGCGGCATTATGCTCTGACTTTGAGCTGGAGAGCTGCTTTCTGATACATTATATAAAGAGCCTTGTGATGCTGCTTTTCCAGTGTGAGAGAGTGGCTGTTTGCTCTCCACCGTCCCCAGATGTCCTCCAAGGAGCTCAAGCTCTTTTTCTCTGTCCTCATCAAGTCCATACATCTTGGCCAGCTCCTCAACCTCCTTTCCCAAGTCATATCCGGCTTCTTGTGTGCTCTGCATTTTTTTGCTGCTCAGTGCAGATTCYTCTCTAAAATCCTCCGGAGATCTGTCTCCTTGACCATCTGGCTCTTCAGGGAAGATGTCAAACCTCTCACTTGATCCATAAAGATCCATGTGATAAAATACCAAGCCTTCAGTCTCAGGCTCACTAGATTCTGGAACCAGTGGAGAAGCTGGACAATCAGGCAACCGATCCCTAGTTTCATGCTCTTGTATATTGCCAGATCTGGATGACATTAGTATCCTCAATGAGGCTTTTGAGATGATGCTCTCAATCCTGTAAAAGAAAGATCTTTAGCTACGTTATTAAATAGCAACCATGAGGTTTTTGGCTTAAAAATAACATCAGGAAACAGTTTGGCTGAGGACTGCTCACAACCTGCAGGTAGGCACGGCATGGTAAAGCTTGTAGTTTCATTTCCTAGATGGATGTGTTTTTTTTTTCTCACTGCTGCGGACAGTGAGAAAGTTGCTTCTACCTGTGTGTCTTGTTTTCCGAGTAGTTGATCTAAAGTTCCCATGTCTGGTTTGCACGTAAGGCAGAATTGGAGTAGACTGGTTTGAAACCAGTCACGCTTCAGCTACTGCCAGGGGCTGCTTCTGAACTGCTGGTCAGGCATACTGTACAATGCTCTCTTATGACTGCTGATGTCATATAACACGCAAGAAAGTGTGCTTGAAAAATCCATTTCAAATTGTTGTTCAAAGTTTCCTTCCATTGATTCACTCTCCAGGCCTTAGGTCCCTTCTATAAAACAGGGATAAATACTGCTGTCTGGAGGTCCTCAAGTGCTGTGATATATTTTATTTTATTTTATTTTATTTTATTTTATTTTATTTTATTTTATTTTATTTTATTTTATTTTATTTTATTTTATTTTATTTTATTTTACTCATAAATGAAGCTCTCAAAAAAAGATGGGGAAATTTGTGATGATTTCCATGGTAAAAAGCACAGTCATTAGGAAGCTGGCAGGTCATTGACCCCTGAAAAAAAGAGATGTCCGGTCTGACCTGGAGCTTGTTGTGCCTTTCTCTGTCCTGTGCCAGGTAGGAGGTGTGAATCTAATATGTGGATGTGAAACACAAGCCAGTATTATAAAGCAGATACATGTGGCACAACATTAAAGGTACAAAGGCAATGTGAATTCTGTCATTTTCTATTTCTGAAAGCTTGCTTTGAAGCCTTAATAATGTTCTGGTAGCATTTTTCAACAGTTGATGCAGTTTGTGATAATAAAAGGAGATTTTTTTTCTCCATGACACTTCTGTTAAATTCTTACATGCTCAGCCCTGTGTACATCTGGAAACATACATATGCATGGAAAACCCCAGCACCTTCACAGATGCTGAGAATGAGGTAAAATATAAYGTACTGCAGTACATTATATACATTATATATATGTGTATATTATATATATGTGTACTGCAGATCCCCTGCACTGTCAGCATGCACCTGTCCACTGCCAGGACCTCCAGCTGCCCCTTGCAGACTCCCCAGACCCACATCTTCCAACCAGCCTTCTCCTACTATCAGCACCCAGAACGATGCCAGGACAGGGGCACCGTGTGGTGCTCCATCACAGCCACGGGGTCTGCACAGCCCTCTGCAATACACCGCCCCTAAAAGATCACGGCCACAAAACTATTCAGATCCATTTCCCCACTAGTTTTTCTACTATAGTCAAGAGAGTTTATGGAAAGATTTAAGCTTCGTTCAGAATATTAATGAAACTCAAGTTACGTCTAGTSCTAACTCAATAAAGCATATGAAACTTTAAAACCACTTTTTCATGGAAAAAAAAAACCCAAGTCATTAAAGTTATCAGTGCTTTTGCAGAAGCTCCCACATAAGTTTTGGGTTCAAACTATTTCTTATGCTTCCTGTAGTTTCCCAGACTTTCTAGCACTTCAAATTTATTTCATCAATATTTTACAAATATTCCTGAGAATTGCTTGTCTAATAAAGTCAACACAGTGACTCATTAGAAAGCAATCCCTGGAACTAATGAAAAATACTGAGAATCTTCGAAATCTCCATATTTGTATCAATGATTGAAAACAGCCCAGCCTGCTGGATCTATAAAAAAATACACACCAAAGTTCATCATTCTCTTCTGGCACTACAGACATAAAAATACACTCTACAGCTAACAACATCATACTATAGACAAGCATACTAAAGTTAGGCAGAAACACTATTTATGCTAACGTGGTAAAATAAATCATGCAAATTCTACCATATTAAACAGAGAAAAGGTCTTGAAGCATACCAGGAAATGTCGTCTGGCTCCTGAAAAGATTTTTTCCCCCATAATTATAACAATAAGGCTTGCTTTACAGGCTACTACTAACTAGGAAAGTGAATTAACTAGTATTTTTCCTACCAAAATGAAATTAAATTACATAAATTCAAATAAGCATAATTAAGCTTGTCTGGAACCCTGCTGCCTAAATATGATTTTCAGATGATGCGTTTGCTCAGTTTGCAGACACAGATACAGTTACAGGGAAGAATGTTTAAGTCCGTGACCACTATCGCAAACATACAGCCAAGAAGTGATACAACCTAAAAACTTGCCTTCTATCTTAAGACGTCATAAATCCTTTCGATAGCTTGGGTGGCATCAAACTTCAAATTTATTTTGCCTAGTAAAAAATAATTCACGTGAAGGCAATTCCCTGCCACTTTCCTGTGACTGCCTGGGAAGACTTTACTGCAGTAACCCTAGACTGCCTCTCTGCTCAGATCGGGACGTGCCAGCAATGAGCCACGGAGCAAATATAGCTGTGCCCTGGCTGTCCTTCAGCTGCCTGATACTTGAGTGTCACCAGGATGAATGTCAGACCCTCAAAAAAGCTTATGAATGTTCTGTGTGATTCCTGGACTTGAAGTACTGGGAACATTTATACAGAGCACTCCTTAAAAACAGAGCACTCCCTCACTTTCTGAGCGGCTATTAATAAATCCTGTGGAGATTTCAGTCACTGACTCTAGACATGTTTTCTGTGGGTGAGTATCTAGTGTCTGAGATATGGAATGTGGATCCTGTGCAAACTAACTCAAATGGATTAAACACACACAAACAGCAACACTAAAAATCAAATGTCAGTACGTGTCCTTTTCTTTATGAAAGGTTAATGGCAAAGTCTTTCTCCTTCTTAAGCAAACAGCAGGTTTATTACTGGAGTTGGTTGGAATTAAGATCAGACTCTAGAAAAATGCTAGCAAAAACCATAACGGCGTACACACTTGTTCCATATATACATACCTCCCTGCATGTATATGTYAGGCCTCATAGATAGCTTATTATAATGAAGAAAGTGGCTAATGGCTCAGCAAGAGGAGAGTTTTCATAGGAACACATGGCTTCATTCTATGCTCAGTAGCAGATCACCTGGTAAAAAAAATATAGGCCATATATTACCATAGATTGTTGTGATTACCATAGCACTTGAGCTCTCTATATCCACTTAAATCCAGCTGTTATCCAGCAGACATAATCCTCCACTTGTAAACTAGCTCCTGAGCTAATCTTGTGGGTAGGATATTTTTAAACCCATCTGAGAACATTGCATTATATGTATATGTGCCTGTATGTACACACATTGACCTTTGGAAGGGGAGTGCAATGAGCAAGGCTTATTGCCTCTTGACAGAGCTCATCAATGGGATTTCYGCACATTTTTAGCAACCCAACTGTTTGCTCTTTCAGTAATTCGGAATTAGTCACTGACGTAACCACATTTGTATTAGTGCTGGCAGCACCTCCAGCATTTATGGGCTGAGGGCCGAAACGTTTCAGCGTTAACGTTGCCGATGTCAGATTTTACTGGTGTTCAAGGGSCGGCCGCCACGGCACGGCCGCGGCCTCTGCCTCGGCCATGGCACAGCTGCCTATGGCCTTTCCCCACTCTCCGCGTTGTTTCACGCGGTTTCACGCAGCGAGGCCGCCCCCTCGCCCCGCCGCGCGCCGCTCCTCGACATTTCTCCGTTTTTTGCACTTTTCCCCCCGTTTCGCTGTGTGAGGGCCGGGCGCCCCGCCCGCCGCCGCCCCCTCCGCCGCGCTGGCCCCGCCCCCTCCCCGCGCCGGGGCCAATGAGAGCCGCGAGCCGCCGTGACGCGGCGAGGCCCCGCGCCGGCCGCGGCCGCCCGGTTTCAGTTTCGCTGCGCGGCGCCGCCGCCATCGCCGTCACCGTCGCCGTGATGGAGGCGCAGCCCGACAGCCTGGAGGGCTGGGTGGCCGTGCGCGACGCCGCCTTCTCCGAGCCGCGCCCGCCGCGCCTGCGCTTCCTGGCGGCCTGGAACGACGCGGAGGGCAAGTTCGCCCTCACGTGCCACGGCCCCGCGGCGGGCGAGGCGGCGGCGGCGGCCCCGGCGGGGCGGCAGAGCTGGGCCGCGCTCTTCTCGGCGCAGGCGCTGCTGGGCGTGCACGCGCAGCTGGCGGCCGTGTGCCCGCGCCTCGAGCCCGCCTTTCCCGCGCTGCCCGCCGCGCTGCGCCGCGCCCGCCCCAGCGGCCTGTGGGCCGCGCTGGCGGCGGCTGAGGCGGCGCCCGGCGAGGCCGAGCTGCGCGAGCTGTGCGGGCGGCTGGAGCGCTACCTGCGCGGCGCGCTCGAGCTCTGCGGCGCCCGCGTGCTGCTCGACGCGCTCTTCGGCGCCGACCACGACGACGGCTACTACGAGAGCCCGCAGGAGCTGCGCGGCCGGGCCCTGCGCGGCCACCTGGCGCGCGCCCAGGAGGCGCTGCGGAGGGTAGGGCCCCGCCGCCCCGCGGCCTCCCGCCCGCGGTGCCCCCGCTTGCAGGCGCTGCYGCGGCCGCTGCGCTCGGGCGGGGAGCGGCGGGACCCCCGTGCGCCGTGAGCGCAACGCGGAGGGGCGCGCGCTGCCCCTGCGCTAACACCTGGGCTGACACACTGCCCGCAGCGCTGCCGGCAGGTCCAGGAGTGGAACGATCCACTGCTGCAGTGCATCCTTCACTGAAGGAAGAGGCAGTGGAATGAGTCTTSTGATTCGTTTCATTTCAGCCTAGCAGTGGCTGAATGAGCCACTTCATTCAGCCCAGACACTCTACAAGCCTGTACCGAATAGGTGATGTCAGAAAAATGAGGGTCTTTTTTTTTTTTTTTTCAAACTATACAGTTTTGACCTGACAAATSCATAGTCAAGGTCTGTCTTAGTGTAAGTTCCTGCTTGCTCTGTGTGGCTCTTTTCCTTGTTCTGCGTGCTCTGGTTTAAGGAAGGTAACTAGTGTGTTAGGACATTGTCTTGTTAATGTCAGACTTATGAGATTAGAGGCCACTAGAGCTGTTGATGCTAAACCTTTTTTCCTCTCCCTGGAAGAGAGTCATTTTATGAAAATGTTCCTGCTTTGGCAAGAAATTGAGGCAGTTTTGGCTTTAGCCAAGTGTTTTCTGTTTCACTGCCTAGCAGCCATAATGTGGTTTCCATTTCTTYTCAGATTTTAAAGAATTAAGTTTGCATGCCCAGTTTTGTATATAAAAATTACACTATCTGTGACTGTAACTGTCCATGGTCCCGTTGGAAATTAATTCCAGCCCTTTTGCTCCTTTGCAAGCAGTGCGGAAGAGTAAATTCCAGTGTGGCACTTTGGGATTTGATGGTCAAGTATAACTTGGCCAATTATCTTATACCAACTTTGTTAGCTATGCCTAAGGATGCTTTAAACAGTACACTTGTATTTCTGGGCCTCACAAGGACAAAAATTCATTATATGCAGTATAGACCAGGTTATCCAAGACTCTCAGAGAAAAGGCAGAAACGAAACCTGTATCTTCTGCCTTCAAACTAACCTTAAATATCGCTTTTTATCTGTTTCTTCCTCAGATACGTCATCCTCTGGGGTAAATGACTAGAGATAAAAGGCGATGCATTTGTAAGAGTGCAGAAGTTAGCTATACAGGATAGAGGAGAGGGGCAATATGTAGATATGTCTTTTTGTGTGTGTATTTGCTGAAATATAACAGTCCTGAAAATGCAAGAGCCACCACCACCAGAGTCATTCTGGCTAATGGTGAACTGGAGTTCTGTTAAAAGAATAGCAAACTATGTGAATCCAAAGATTTTCCAGAAAAAAATATACCAAATTTATCATGAGTAGACTGATTTCACAAGGGCGTTCCCTCTCCCCGGCACAACCATCCTGCCGTGGTGGAGAGCACGAGAAGGGCAAAGCGTGTGAGTGGGTTGTGTGGCTTTGCCCATGCAGAAACCAGACTGCTGCCTTGCTGCCACTGGTGCCTGAGCTGCCCTGGGCTCCTTTGTTGGCCCCAGGGGTTCCCTGTCCCATTCATGCCCAGACCAGGGAGAGGATGGGCGGGCAGTGGCCTAGCACCAGCTCCACTGCCCTTCCTGGGGGATGCTCCGGCTGGGAACACTGCTAGCGCCGTGGAAGCCAGGCTTAGCTGGCAGGAGCCACCAGTCGATTTTGTTGCTTTTCAGTTGCAACATAAGGAGGCCTATGTCCCTAACTGTTCCTTTTCCTGATTGTCACATTACCAAGCACCTTCTCTTCCCTCCCTCCTTCCCTTAAGGAGCTTACCTGTAGTTCCTCAGCTGCCTGTGTCCTGGACATAGTCCTGGCATCATGGTCTCTCTTACCTGCTGGCAAAGAAAAATCGTTGAAGCTTTGATTTATGCTAAATAAACATTGAAGGAGAGTTTCCAAATTCATTTCTCATCCTAGTGGCCAATGAATACCTTAGAGCACTGAACTAATAGATGGATATTCCCTAGAAGTAGTACAGCTTAGAAAGAGAAATATTTCTACGACTGACATTAGAATAAACTGTTATGAAAATAATACATAATAATGCATAATGAAATATTACAAATAATAGTATTATAAACAAACGTTTAGAGACCTTAACTTCAGGGCATATAGGGGATTGAAATCTGGTTCTGAATTTTTGTTTCTAGATGGAAGTCTGATTTTTTTTCCATGCTTGAAATCAGAAATTCTGGATCCAGAAACTTATGTCATTTAGTAGCCATGAAAGAGATCCAAGGGCCAGTTTCAGAATGCCTCACTTGTCCTTACAGCCTGCAGACTTCCCCTGCGAGCCAGCTGTGGTTGTGCAAAGTCATCTGTGAGCAGCTGCTATGGGCATGTTTGCTGTGGAAGGCCCTGGGCTTGATTGCCCTTGCAGTCCCCTGATGCAGTGTGCAGCAATTAGTGCCCTTAGGACAACATTGCTAATGGGTTTTCCTGCTGGGGTGGGTTGCTGAGCACACAGAGCAGCTCTCTGCGTGACAGGAGGTCTCAGCTCTTCCTCTTGTGATGAGTGACAGGGTCTTTGGATCAAAACTCCTTGGCATGCGCAAATGCAGCGCGCAGCCAAATGAGGCCCACCTGTATCCTTGTAGGTTCTGCAGCAGCATAAAAGTGCTGACACGATGGTGGCGCTGATGAAGGTTTATGAAGAAGAGGATGAAACTTACCAGGACTTGGTTACCATGGCAACGCAGTTCTACCAGTTTTTACTGCAGCCGTTCAGAGACATGCGCGAGTTGGCTACCGTGTGCAAGCTGGAGCTCCTGGTAGGTCTGTCCTTACGGGTGAGAGGCCRAGTTATGCAGTGGGACATCAGCAGCTCTTGAAGCAGTTTGGCTTCCAAATCGTTTCATTATCCTTGGGCTCCCCGGTTCTGCTTTCACCTACTTCCCTTTTCTTGCCAAGCCTCCAGATGTGGCTGGGAAGTTCGGAGTTAGAGCAAATTGCTCCAGGAGGATCTGATGATCCATGGTACTGGCTTAAATAGTTTTGCATCTGTAAGCCCAGCCAGCTTCCCACCAGTGTCCTGCCTCCCTCCACTGGGAAGTGTATAAAGAAAAAAGAAAAGCCTAAACTTCTCATATCCATGGACTTCTGTCTGGTAGGCTCAATTTACAGAGATCTGAGTAACCTCTGATGAGCCATTCACAATGGGATTAGTCTGGGACTCTGGGAATGCCATCCCACAGGATGGCCATCCCTCAGGAGTGCCGATGGAGCAGTTAACTGAGCCCTGCTAGTAGCGCAGGCAGAGGTAGTCCTGCCACACAGGGCAGTTTTGTGTTGCTGAGCCTGCTAGAAGTACAAGCTATACACATCACTGGCGAGTTTTGTTCATTTTCTTCTACATGAATCTTAAACTGGAAGCACTCAAACTGAAGGAGAGTTAGGATGCCCCTTGAAAAGACAGCCCTTTGCTATTTTAATTCTCTTAACTCTTCTGCTAAAATTATAGCAAGCTGCTAATATTACCAAAAAGAGCAGAACAACTGCAAGTTAAGACTCTGATAGTTTTAGATACAGAAAGGCTAAATCTGTATTGAAAATTAAGTGAAAACTGGAATAGATCAAATACACTGTTTTTTTTTTGTTTGTTTTCTTGTGTATACATAAGGAAGTTTAGACTCATTTTTAAAAGTATTTCATTAAAAAAAGATAAATTCAATACTAAGTCTTATACCCACATACCCTCTTATCAATTTTCTGTGGGCTTGAAGGTATTATACTTCTCTATATCCCTGCTCCTGTGTGAAAGAACTGCCAAACAGGAGGACCTGCCAGGAATGTGCTGTCAACACATGGGGGAAAAATAGAAGAGAACATTGCATGTAGAAGAGTGTGTCTGAGTTACTTTTAGTAACAACTAGAAACATTTCAGATGGACGTGATATTTAAGAGGARGTTTTACAAATACTTTAAGAAATAAAGCAAACATTGAAAGTCATGACAGGTTCTGCCTTACCCTGGAGAAAGGGGTGAATGTTGGTCTGGGCAGCAACTTGCTTTGGGAAGGGGAAGGTCAAGTTTGCCACGAAGTTCTGCCTTGCTGCAGCATCTCTTGGGATAGCATGATGTGGGCTGTACTGCTGTGTTAGGCAGTTGATAATTAAGAATTTTGTCTCCTTGCAGAAGTCTTTGCAGTWTGATAAGCTGGGGCCCAAAAGAATAGCAGCTTTGCAGAAAGATGCTGAGGAATGGACTAAGCGGGCGGARGATGCTGTGTGCTCCATTCAGGAGCTCACAGTGAACTACTTCAAGGAAACTGTAAAGGCCCTGACAGGTAATTGCAGTGAGATAATACAAAAGGTTGTGATTCACACTTGTCTTTAAGGCTAGAAAGCTGTTTTTATCACCTTTGCTGTTCCGTCTTTGTAAAAGCTGAGGTTAGGATGGGTGTTGAACTTAAGTAATGAGTATTTTGTGCAAATGAGTATATGCACCTAGACTTTGATCTTCAACCAATTTGRTTTATAATTTGCATTGGTTTATGCAGAGATGGCATCAGGAAGGCCCGAGAATTACAGCTGCAAACCTCTAAACAAAAAGCATGCATGATTTTAGCATTTACTGTGAAAGTGCTAAGGATTTCAGTATGTTGGCTAAATACATTGCTGTGTAATTGTATATGTACTTTTACATGGTAAAGTATTTGACTTCCATTTATAAAGTCATAAATTCAGTCTTATAATTTCAAAAGTTTCAGAAATTGTTTAATCACATTAGGCTTTTTAGTACTGCAGCTTTAGTAGGAACACAAGGGTTATGAGGATAGTGCATTTTTCATATCTTACTAGAATGTTTTAATCTGCAGCAATGCACAAGCAGATGGAACAAGATAAGAAAAGATTTGGTCAAGCTACCTGGGCATCAGCTTTGCCAAGACTAGAAAACCTGAAGTATATSTTAGCTAAAGAAACGCTTCAGCATCTGCGGGCAAGGGAGTTGTGCCTGAAGCAGAAGCAAGCTGGCATTGAGAAAAACGTAAGGTCCCTGCAAAGCATGCGCATGCTTTCTGTCACAGGTTGGTGAGGGGCTGATCAACACCCACTGGAAAGGCATGGGGAGACTTTTAAAGTCCTTAACTATGAAACTGGACTCACAAAGCGCACACGTTCTGTAAGATGTTTAGCACTGAGTTGTAGAGCTTACCTGACTAAGTATGACTGCTTTTAAAAAGCAACAACAAAATATTAGTGTGTGCTGACAGTTTTTGAAAAACAAATAAATCAATTTTTAATTGTACAAGCAAACAGAAAGCTTGAAGTAATTGTTTTTCAGCAGTTTGAAATTGCAGAAAAATTCATATCTTGCATTTTTTTAAATTACTCCTGCACACATGAGAAAACTTAGGATAAATATTTTTACAGTTCAGGTGCTATGTTAGCATTTATGGTATTAACCTTTAAAGCATTTATGGTATTAACCTTTAAAGCTATTAGTTGTTGGAAGATAAGACTGAGATACTATTTTCAGGGAACACTGTGAAATAAAGATATATACTTGATACTCTGATCATTTCTACTCGATGCCGTATAACTGCTGCTAGGAGCCCCTGGTGCTAATGCACTGTGCTATAAGATAAGCAAGTAAGATAGCAGCTTACTGATGKCTTTCTCTCTCTAAAACTTACAAAAGCCTGATGCAGAGGTTAAGGGAGGAGGTGCACAAGACAGGTGGTGCCCACCTTGTAGTTTGCTGCTGGCAAAGAAAAAGGGAGAAGTCCTGCTTCTGGATGTATTTTCCCAGTGTTTCTAGCTCTTGCTCTTGTCAGCCTCTCCCTGAGCTGTAAGCAAGCAAGCTCTCAGTCAGCAGGCAGGATATGAACCCAGTTTGTGCAGGTTGGTGAGCTGAACTGGCGGAGCAGAGTCCTGTGAGCAGCACAGAGTCTGCAGGAAGGTGGGCTGAGAGGCAGGGAGAGAGGAAGACTCATCCTTCCTTTGAGGGTGCGCTGCTGCTTGTGTGTATTTTGCTATGTATGTTTTGTATGTAAATTTTCTCTTTGAACCTTTAAAGATGAAGAACCTCGATGAACGAGAAGAGAACCTAACTGTAGCAGAGGAGCTGGAAATGGAGTATTATGAAACCCAACTGGAATTATATAATGTACAGCTTGAGGTATTGAAACACGAAGAGATGCTTCTTGTTGTACAATTGGAAACCTTAAGGAGACAGATTAAAGGTCAGAATCAATAAGTATTTAAGCACGTCAAACACAGCAGTGATGTAGCCATCTCTGTTTTTGTATTAAGAAATAGATATTACGGTCCTTGATACTAGAAGGTTTCGTTGGAAAACATTGGTGTTGGGACAGCAGCTGATATTTTGTCTTCTTAAAGTAACTTGATGAAAGAGAAGGCCAAAAAGAAAAAGGCCAAAAAGAAAAAAAGAAAAGCCAAAAAGAAAAAAAGAAAAGCCAAAAAGAAAAAAAGCCTCACTAGTGACTCTTGACAGCAGTTGTACATGTGTGCTCACACTGCTTTGACTCAATGGATAATTCTACTTCAGAGGTGCCTATTGCTTTTACATTAGCTATGTATAGAAGCTGAAGTTTCCTTCAGGGAAGCTGTTGAAAGGTGAAAGGTTTTGTCTTCATCACAACACTTATGTAATTTAATATGTAAAAATTGCAAAATACATTTTCTTAATGACAAAAAGAGATGATTTTTAGCTGCATACTACTTTGAATACTAATGTATTCCAGTTTAACTGTCCCTTCTTAACATATTTATGACAAAATTAGGCAGCACTCTTGTGCTTATTTGTGCTTTATGATTTCTCTATTACTGTGTAGTGATCATTGCTTCTGTTTATTGCATAATTTAAACCTGCTAAGTAGGATAATAAACCATGCAGTGCTGATCAGAACAGTCTTCAGTTTTCCAGGAAAGCTCTAGTCAGTGAAGGCAGGAGTTCAAACAGTACAGAGAGACATTCGAAAGAGGAAGCTAAATAACAGAAAATGTGAACAGCCTAAATTTGATCCTGCAGAGCATCCCTGGGCATAGCATTATATGTGTATGTAAGACTTTGAAGGACTAAGCTTGACTCTGAGGTATTACGCTTTCTGATAAGTAACTCACTGCCTGCAGTAGCTTTTCAAATGTCATAACTGCTTGAAATGTTTAAAGAACTGTAGCATTTTTTTTAATGCCAAATGCCTTTTTAGAGAAACAGGATGAAGTTGTTTACTATGATACATGTGAAAATCCTGAGGAGCTCAAGGCCATGGAGCAGACAATGGGACAACATTGTGCTAACTCGTCAGAGATGACAAAGCTGAAGCGGAAGACCAAGCAGTTGGAGACAAAGCGGGGCACTGTGTGTGCGAGGAGAGCCTACCTCAGGAACAAGAAAGTAAATGCAGACCTGCAAGGGTGCAGCTTCTTGCCAGGGAGCAGCTGCTTCACAAATTACAGGGATGAACAGAAGGCAGCCAGGGAGGCTTTGGGTGGACATACAAGATCATGCACGACTAGGTGCCAGCACCTAGAAAACAGAAAGAGGGGCAGGGSGATTATTAAGCTGGCCTTATGCTTTACTGTGTGATGCAAATGGCTCTCTCATGTATTAAGGAAGCACAGACTTACCTTAGTGACCTGGGGATTGTTTCTCTATCTGCTAAACCTCCCAGAGAGCCCTGCTGTAGCCAGCTGGAGCTTTGTCCTGGCAGCCTGCTCTAGAGCAGCTGCAGCACAGGGGAAAACCTGGCCTGCAGTGAAGGAAACTGCAGTGACAGAACAGCACACACTGTGATACTTGTTTTACCCTTGAATGGAAGAGGAAGAAAAAAAATTAACTGCTGCAGTTCTCTCCAGCCTCTCAGTTCTGTGCAAGGGATTTTTTTTTTCTTTGCTTCCCATTTGGAGTAGAATATTAGGAATAAAAGAATGAGATCATGGATGATTCTTATGGACTTTCTCAGTGAGCTGTGCTTGCCTTAACACCTATGCAGTGTTGCTGAGCCTGAGAGCAGAGTTTAAGCCAATTGTGTCTGACCTTTTACTCCTCCTAGTCCAGACAAAATGGGAGTCTCATTGGAAATGTTTCGTGAACAGTTAATGTCTCCCACAATTGCTTTCTCAGCATAAACTTCCTCTGCTTACGTTTTCATGCACTTAATTGCTGTCTATTAGTTATATAATACTAAGGCCACATGACAGATAATTTGCAAATGCTTACCCAGCTGTGTGGCTAATCCCCCTCTGCACTGTGACAAGTGACTCCCAGAGAAAATACTGAAACCTGCAACTTACGAGGCCCTCTTGGTCATTCTGAAGTGACTTTTGCCCATGCGGTAATGGCACAGACTGCCACACATTGTAAGTATGAATTAACTAAGGATTTCATGAATTCTGCTGTTTCACCAGGATCAATGTGAAGCAAGCCATCGGCAGAGACTGCAACAGGCACAGGAGAGCAAGAAACACTTCCAGCAGCACCACAGCATACAGATCGTGAGTAGTGAATAGCAGCCTTGCAGAATCTGGCAGCTTTTTTCGTGTACAAATGCTCACTTACGTATGTAACACAAATGTCCTTGCAGAAGAGAGACAAGCAAAAAGAGGAAGAGAAGAAGAAAAAAGCTTGGATAAGCCAAGAACGTAAGAAAACACTGGAGAGGCTGCGAGCATTCCGGGAGGTAGGTGCTGTGAGTTACAGTAATCCTACGTGGTGTCAACACAGGGAGTCGGAAAGTAGCTGTAGATGCCGTGTGAGCACAGTCCAGAATCAGAGGATAGCATTTGAGTAGCCTAAAACAGGATTGTGTGCAATGAGTGAAAGGAGTCCTCTAAGGAAAGAGCTTCCAGGTACAGAGCCTGTTGAAAAGAGCAGAAGTGTGGAAATCACTTTCAAAGATATACCATGATACTCCTTTAACCCTGCTCGGTATTGAATTTTCTGTGTGGGTGAGTAGTACAAGTCTGTGCTCTGCAACTTTTCTTCTCTTTGGGGATGCTCTTTCTGCAAGTCCAATGGCAAAGTGACCTCCTGCCTTCCCTTTTGTTTTTCAGAAATGCCCAGCTCACATTGTGCTGAAAACATCTCCTCCCCAGCCTCTCAGTCCCAGGATGCCACAAAGCATCACCCAGCAGGCTGCGATACTGTCCCCTCCACCTTCATCAAGAGTGAGGCCAGAAATGGAGCAGCCACTGAGCATTCAGTTAGCAGAAGAAGACAACACTGTAAATTTTCATCAGAACACCTCAGCAGATATCCCTGTCCAGATTTTTGTGGCTGCTGGTGACTCAAAGCAACAAAACCACAGTGAGGGGCTGATGGACTCTCCATCCTCACCACCATCACCTCCTCCTCTACCTCCTATACCTCCTGTAGCCCTTCCTTCTCCACCTCCTCCTCCACCTCCTCCTCCTCCACCTCTACCTCTCCACTTCAAGACACCATCAGGAATAGAGGATAAGCCACTTCCCCTTAGTGTGGAAGTCCCTGTAATGCACATACAGGCTGACTCTTCCAGGATATCTGCAAATAACTGCATAGGTAAATGAGCTCACATCAGTTGGTGTTTTTCTTTCTTCCCTATTTTGCATTTTTAATTCTCCCTGTAGTTCTGGACATAAACATCTTTTTACAGTCTTGCTGAAAAGAATGAAACTTAGAAAGCATGGTATGAAAGACCACATAAAATAGCACTGACCGCCAGTCAAGATGCTAAATAAATAACAATGATTTGGGTATCCAGTTTGATACCCATCACAGGACTCTAACTTTTAGTGTGAGTAACTCAATATGTTTTGAGAAACACCGTTGAGTTGGACATCCAGGTCTACAGTTAAACTGTTCTTAATCACAGCATTGATAGTTCTGTGGAGATTATATTTCTCATGATATCAGAAATGCCACAACTTTAGCAAAGGGGAAGGTGGCAGAGTGATTCCAAGAAGCTGGGATTTAGTCATATTATCTGATAAGAAACAACCTCTATTTCCATTTTTTTTTCCACAATTTTTCCACTTTTGAACAGAATGTGGCATTTTGTTTGAGTTTTAATCATGTCAGGAGTACAGCTGTGAGTATATTTGTGTTTGCATTAAGGTTATTATTGAGTGTTTACATACCAAAGAGCTGCCAGTTTGGGCAGTGCACACTTAGAAGGTGAACACAGTCTGTGTCCATCTAGAATTTGCCTAGTTTCTAAATAAAGTTCATTCAGAATTCAAACAGGATTTGAAAGGCAGCTGGATAGCTTTGGTACACATGCATTGCTGGGGCAAAAATTCTGCTCTGCTACACCTCTGCTTTGTTAGCCAGATCATGGAAGTGTAACTGAAGGCTGAACTCTGCAATTGAAACACAGCAGTTTGGATGAGAATAGMGCTCAGCAATTTCCCAAGCCTGCACTGGTTATATCCTGCTAACAGGCTTATTTTTATCTCTAAAGCAAGCAAATATTCTGACTATGGCATGAAGATTGATCTAAGTGGGAAGGCAGCAATTTTTCCTTGTCAATTTTCAAAGTAGAGCTTATGTTAGAGTGAAGCAGGTCTTTATATGTATGGCACATTTCTTTCCCTTTTTTTACGCTCTTCAACTCGGCAGTTGAGAGGCAAAGCACAGGCAGAAATACCCAGAAAAGTTCTTATTTTCAGTTCTTGCAAGGATGGTGAAGGAGAAGCAGCGGCAGGAGATGCTTCAGGCTTTCATGACAAACTGCTGGGCATCCAGTAGATAAGTCCAGCCTGTGGGGTAACTACTGCAGATAACTCATGAGAAGCTTTGATTAGCAGCAGGAGCTGTGCACTAGGATGGTGTGATTGCTACCAGAACAGCCCTGTTTGTAGCTGATACTTGTTGTCATTCACAGCAAACCCTGATGCCCTGATGTCTTTTAGTTATGTTTGGATAAGGAAAATACTTTTTTCTTCTTTTTTTTTTCTTCATTCCTTTCTTTATTGTAGGGATCCAATTGGTTATTTATACTTCTCTTTACCAAGAAAACCACCTGTTATTTTCTATAATAATAATAAAACATTGCCATAGGAACTTGCTGATACAGCGTCATAAAGAGGTTATTTCCAACACAGGAGTTACTTGTGTCTTTGCACCTGAAAAGTAAGAGAGGTTCATATTCAGGTGCTTAAAAATATTTCCTCTAACGTATCATCATACTTGCTAAGTAGAACTACTTTTATTAATTGTATTAACTTGTCTTTGTTTTTATTGGTTTCTGGTAACAGCATTGGTCTCTGGTAACAGCAGCACATTTGATTAATACACTTAGTAGCTGCTTACTAGAAAGCTTTTTAAGACTAGTGTGCAGATGTGTCCTCAGTAGGCTTCTCAGTTTCTGAAGGCACCACAGGATTTATAAGAATGTTGTAATTTCACTGTTTGGTGTTCATCACAATCCTCTCTGCGCTGCCCATGACAAAAATGCATCTCTCTGAGAGGCACAGATGGSCTAGACCCCTGGCTGGAGGAGTTGCTGTGGTTTGATGCCCAGAGAAGCCATATTCCCTGTCTGACAGTCTGAAATTAGCAACAAAGTCCCCCAAAAGGAATAAAACACAAATTACAATGTGTACTAAGAGATCAAGGAGAAGCTCTCTCAATACGCTCTCTTCTATGGKCTGAAGTTTAGAAACATACACCTGATACTTAAATTAGGTTGTAAAATGTGCATTATTTTTTAAGTCTGTACAGGAAAGACCTGCCTGCTTACCTGCTTATGGCCTGACCTAGCTCCCACTGATTTCAGTGGTGCAGTTTCAGGCCTTTCTACCCAAATAACTTCATTTTTCTCTTTGTTGAGCAAAAATGCAATTGACAGTCTCAGCAGGCAACTGAGAGAACTAGAAGGGCTGGTGAATTGTTTCTAATATAGAATAAAAGACATTTTTTGGTTCAGTAATATTTTTTTGAAAGCACATAAAGCCATAATGAAAAAGAAGCATCCTCCTTTGTGTATAATTTCTTTTTTAGTGCACAAATTGTAATGATAAAGAGGGACTGGATTCTCAAAATCAGGTATAAAAGCTTTAACTCTTCGGTTTCAAAACTGGCACTGCAAAAGCTGCAAGAGTTTGTGCCGGAACAGTTCGTTACCTTTGCTGAAGACAGGAAAAGATGAAGGGAAGAACTGTCAACACATGTATGGAGTTTGATACCTCCATGAAGGATTGTTTGTTCTTTCTTCCGTTAACAACTGACTTTTCCCTGCAGGATCCATGGATGAGGTGTTGGCTTCTCTGAAGCATGGCGAGGGTGTCCTCCGCAGAGCGGCACTGCCAGATCCCTTCACCRCTGTGAAAGATGACATCCTCTCCGCCATAAGGCGAGGGGTTAAACTAAGAAAAGTGAATCAAAAAGTGAATACTGAGAAAAATATCAGTAAAGGATCCAGTAATGAGCTGGAGAGAAGCATTAAGGCAGCCATCCAGAGAATTAAGAGAGTGTCTGCTGATTCTGAAGAAGAGGAAAACAATGATCAGAACAGTGGGGAATGGGACGGATAACCCAGTAACAGATGAACTGCCTGGAACACAGCGCCTATCTCACTTTGCACATTGCCTGAGTGTGTGAGTGTGTGTATGTGTTTGTCACAGTCCAAAAATCTCTTACATGGTAAGTGTCCTGTTGACTCTCTACAGGAGCTATGGATTCCTGTTTTTGCATGGGCAATCATACCCAAAGATGCTGCCATTAACAGGCAATTCTGCCTCAGCTGTGCAGATTACAGAGTCCTCACTGTGTCTGAAGACAACGAGAACACTGAATTGAAACATACATTACTTTGGTTGTTACTACACAGTAGATAYGAGTATTGCAACAGAAATAAGAAGACAGAAGACAAAAAAGAAACAGAAATAATAAGAGTGAGAAGGTAACTAAAGACCTGCTTTGTGAATGAAAAGCTTAACCAAAGCAGTAGTGGTAAAAGCAGAAATCTTAGTGTAATTTGAAAGCTCTCATCACTACCTCCTCTSTCCAGCACTTCCTCTAATATCCTGCTTCTTTCTACAGCTTGCTCTGAAATAACTGCTTGGATGCTGCATTTGTCACGATATAAAATGAGTACTTTGAAAGGGACTGGCAATGCCCAAGGGGAAAACTAATAGCAAGTTGGAAATAAATGCTGCTCTATTACTCACTGAAAAGTTTGCTTTTTAGATGGAAGTTTGGAGTATTTTTAAAAGGCAAGTAACTTTCACATGTCCAATTCTAGTTACCTATTGGCATAAAAGAAAGTGCCAAACTATTGTATGTATTGCCTTCTGTGATCTAGCCCTGTAATATGGAGCTGTGTTTCTCCACTGAGGAGATCAGTACACACTTATGCCTGTTCTCATGAATTTGTGTCCTCTGAAAGCACCTTATAAAATGGCAGTTCTTTACACTGTGCCCAGAATCTAACTAATTTAAAATTCAACTATATTACATATGTAGACTGTTTCTATTTTGGGTAAATAGTGGAATAAATGATTTAAAACTTTCTGAGTTTATTTTTGACCCTTAATAAAAATATATCCATCAGAAGTGGATTTGGTGTACTCTGATTTTAAGAAGTTTTTGCCCACTATTYGCTAACTGTGCACTCCTTTAGAGAATTCAGTGTCCTTACTGTGTGTAATGGTTGTGAAAGGTTATTTGACAAGAAACGTGGAAGTGTAATACTTCAATTCCAAGTAGGCAGGAGTGGGCCTGGTGCAAGAGCCTCAGTGGCTGTTGGGAATACCTCTATGGGAATAGTCTGCCCTGACTGTCCAGCTGGTGATGGTGAGCTGTTTACAGGGAAAACTACAGCTTCCCAGCATTAAAGAGTTAATTTACAGACCTGCTGGATAGCGCATTCATGATTTTTTTTTTTAAATCAGTTTATGTAAATCAGTATCAACGTGGCTTGTGATCTCTTTGACTAGACGTGGGCAGAGCAGACATTAGCTGGCAGTATTTTTAGGGAGACTTAAAGTTAATATATTCAAAGATGGCTTGGTCTGACTAAGAGAATTTCCCTTTGAAATCCCAGTGCTTTGATCACAGCAAGGAGAGAATCGCAACCGCTTTATCTGCCCGTTATGGATTTGTCAGTGTTTTTGTCAACATGCTTTTGGGGGGATTTATGAAGCTTTGCCATAAGCAAACCTACAGCTGATTCACAACCTGGATACAGATAATTTTATCTGCAAAATTATATTGAATCAAGTGAGTCAGCTCTGAGTGTGAATGCCCTGAGGTGAGCCTGCCATGGCTCTTACAGAGACTTAAGCATGTCACTTTACTCATGCATGTAGCCTTGCTGAGCAAAAAGAGCCTCTTCTAATGAACCTAATACTATTTTGCAGCTGATACAGACTTATGTAACTGTCAAGCACAGTGATAGCCYGTCCTCTGTACTGGCTCTTCGCAGCACTGGGGGACAGTCTGGGGCCAGGCCCAGGTCCCACAGCTGCCACCCAAGAGCTGTGTAAGTTGCTGRGCAAAAAGCCCACATTAATCCTGTGGTGAGACAAAGTGGAGGCTCCTTATCCAAGCTGGATCTTTGTAAACGCCTAGACACCTAGAGCTGGCCCTTGTCAGCACTGCACTGTGAAAGTGCTTCTCCTAGCAGCAACTTGCATTAAAAAAAAAAAAAAAACCAGTTCTTTTAACACTCACCTCCTCCCTAGGCTGCCCTGTTGTCAGATCCCCATAACTGCAAGCAGAACAAGAGGGTGTCCCAAACCTCATCATGCCTGAAAGCTGTTAAAAAAAAAAAAAAACCCTAAACTTCCACTCTTATAAATATATATAAATACATACAGATGTGTGTGTGTGTGTGTGTGTGTGTGTGTGTGTGTGTGTGTGTGTGTGTATATATATATATATATTATGTATATTATATCGTGTATATATTATATATATATGTGTATATATATAAATACATACATATTTTTATCTATATATAAGATGTATTTTATATAATATATAAATATATACATACAAATTCAACATTAGCATTATAGGACCCTCCTAGGTGCTTGGACAGGGCTCAGCACGAGGGACATGCAAGTCCCTTGCCCTTCGGTGCCGGCCTGGTGGGTCGGCAGAGACACTGCCCAGGCTGAAGCCTGGCTGCTTCAAAGAGCCCATGGAAACTGCTGGGCTCCGGGGACTACTGAGTCTGCTTGTGTTTAAGCTCATATTCATTAGGACTAGTCATTAAACACAAAAATTACTTCTGATTTTTTTTTTTTCAGTCCTGCGTCACAAACACTGGTAGATACTAGTGAAAAAAAAAGTTGGATTTTTTTTTTTTTTTTTTTTTTTTTTTTTTTTTTTAATGTGGAAAAAATGAACCAAACTCTTTTCTAATTGTCTAAACCTTCCTTTTTGCATCACAGGGAACATCTGCACAATGAGTCCCATAATCATATGATGCTGGCAAGAAAGAAGGCCACATCATTTCAATTAAACCCACAGCAGTGATATAAGGTGAATGGCATTGAAGGAGTATTTTAATAAATGCCACTGCAAACACTGGCAGCAAGCACAGGCTCAGAACAATACATGAAAAGATCCCTGGAGGGAAGACAAGCGAGAAAGTTTCCTAGAATGGTGTATTTTTTTCCTGTCGAGAAAGGTGTGTGATTTTCAATCTCAGCATGTCCTGCGAGGCAAAAGGAAGGGGATGCACAATTAAATCTGCTCAGGCAGCAGCAGCAGTAACAGCTCAGCTACTTGTGAAAACACTTTGTGAAAGAGGCTGAATTTAGCAAGCCATTGCTCTACCAGCAAGAACAGTGAACCACAAACTGCGCAGACCATGAATTTATCCCACTCTTCCACACGGTAATTCTCTGCAGTTTATCCCCACAGCACCAGGCTCCTTCCCTTTGGCAGCGAGTGTTCGGTGCCTCCCGTGTTTTAGCCAGGTGTGGAGATGTGGGGCACACACAAATCAATCTACCCCCAAATACAGGGCAGGCTGCTAGTAGCCAGGAAGAGACATACAGAGGGAATGTTATTGCCTGTCTGGCTACATCAGCTCAGATTTAGAACATGTCATTAGTCCAACACAATCTCCCATTTGCAATTCCCTTCTCTTCCCAGGCAGCAGGTATTTTGCATTCGTATCAGCCTCGTACCAGTGCATGGGGACGTCTATAAAACTGGGAGGCCGCTGCTCTCAGAGTGCCAAGCGCCGCCTCCCCGTGTGCTCCGCGTGGTGGTGGCCCGGGGGCACCCGCGGCGCCGGGGAGGTGGCAGTGCCAGCGGGGTGCCCGGACCGTGGGCAGCACAGCGCGAGGACATGGATGTTCCCCGCCCTGCACACAAGTTCTGATCCATCGTCACCAGCGAGTCGCCCTGTTGCCACAGCCCGTGTTGCTGTGCAGCAGCAACGGCAAAGGTGGCCGGGGCTCCGGCGCCTCCACCAGCCCTGGGGGAACCATCTGCTGCCGTCCCCACCACCAACATGGGCAGACATTTTAGCACAGAAATGCTGAAGCTGTGTGTGAACATGGACATGTGCGCGTGCCGAGCAATAAGGCTAATAAGTTAGTGCAAGGGCACATTACACTCGCAGAATTGCCTGTTCTGGGATTTATAGGAATTTATCACACTCATCATAGGGGACATTCAGGGMATAACAGCCTATCTTTACCTTTCCTTTTGTTCTCTAAAGAACAGCTAACTTCTTTAGCTCTAAAGAAGAGCTACATCTGTGATCTGCAAACATTGGCTGTATCCTGAAATTATCATAAAGTCATTTCAACCCGCTCCCGAAAAAAAAGAAAATATCTTCAGGGCTCATTGGAGTTCCTCTGTACGGAATCCTTAACCTTGAACACCCACTTCAGGATCCAAAAGTAAAAAACGTTTCAGAGCAAGGGACTGACATTAGAAATGCACCTATCACTGCTACATGCTAGCAGAATTTGAAAGACATAAATATTTGGTTTCTTTCCCAGAGTCTTTGTTCTTCAAAGAACTCCCTGGATCACATTTGAGCTCGTTCATCTGCAGGCTAATGATCACTGCAGCCCCAATCCAGAGAGAAATGAAAGCTGCAGCTGATGGCAAAAGCCTAAACTAAATAGTTTTGAAAACTAATACATTTCAATGTGACATGATAATGTAAAAAGATTGTTCGTCCTGGTGTTAYATATTATTCCCTGTACGTCTAAATTACCTTCAGCCAGTATACATTAAGCATAATCCGAGGCATATGCAACAAATCATATTCAATGATAAAACAATGGGAGAAAAGCAAGAGCACCTTCCCTCTTGATTGCAACAGACCTGATTTTGTTTTTCCTTGACTACCACTACTAATCAATGCAGGGGATATGAAAAGAAAAAAATACATAAAGTTCCTTGTGTAACAATAATTGCACCGGCTAACAAAGTTGTCTAATTATCTGCAAACTCGTGTCAAGAAATTTTGTTCAGACTGTTTTACTCCTCAGACTGTTGCAGCCAGTCAAGTGTGGAGGAGCATTTCTGAAAAGCTGAATGACATTTAGCTCTGTGGTACTGCATACAAATCATACAGTACGTGAAGACAAGGACTCAGCATTTGTTGCAAAGAAAAGATGCATTTTGCAGTGTAATGAAGCACTTTGCCTGAGCAGGATTGATTCAGGAAAATGTTTCTAACTAACTGCTCCTGCTGTAGGTCTGAGCTCTGGGGTAACGTCCTTTAAGTCAGAAGCCACGCTCTATATTGGCACCAACAAAATTCACCAGCAACAAACATTTCTTGACCTATCTTCAACCCAAGAAGTTTAGAGCTTTCCATCTACACATAGGTGAGTGGACAGAGATCATTTCATTCAGAGCTTCTAAGGAGATCTAACAGTTTTCAAAAGCTATTGAAATATACTCAAATTTGAAGGAAAGTGTTAACACAAGTGTAGGACCTGTTGAGGAGCTCTGTCTCTGAAAAAATGTTCATGCAGAGATCTGAGTTAAGCACCACTCAGCTGTGATGAGTCACAAAATGTTCCCAGCACTGCGTTACTGTGGCAGGACTGCAGATGTTTGCCTGGAAGCTTAGCCAGGCTTTGCAAAGTCACTGCACTCGAGTACTTCACAGCCTGAGACAACTGCATGGCTCTGCTGCTCTGACACATGTTAAATCATAATATTCCTGATTTAGGTAACTAGCATGGTCTTTGGCAAGCTGGTTTAGAAGCCTTTGAATGGCCACTTTCAGTGTTGCAGGCAGCTGGCAGGGTATTTCATTATGCTTTTAAAGCACAGATAAATTTTGCTCCAAACAGTTCAGCRTTTGAAGCACAGTTGCATCACAGCTGCAGGTCACAGTCAAAACCATATCCACTTCCAAGGTTTATTTTTTCAGATACTACTTCTGTTCTTAAAAAGTACAAAGAAAAGTCCAGCCTGTTACTGTTAACCTGATGAGCGGGGCTGCTATTCAGCCTAAGTAAAGCTTATTGGCTATAGGGTGTTGAACAATGTGGTATTTTAGAGTACAATATCACACAGATGAG